AAAAAAAAAATGACGTGCATCAAGGTCCTATTATGTTTAATGTATGTACCAAATTTGAACAAAATCCGTCCATGCATAACTGAGATCCGGGTCCGGAATGGTGAAAATGTGCGATTTTGATGCATTTTCGGCCTTAAAATGGCCGCTATTCGGCTATCGTTAATCGGATCATGAAAAAAATGCATGTGCATATGTCCCATATAAGGTGTGATGTATGAGTGAAGTTTGAACTTAATCGGTCCATGCATGTTCAAGATACAGGTGATCACGGACGCACGGACGCACGGACGCACACAGGGCAAAACATAAGTCCCCGTTTTCGGACTGCGTCCGAACGGGGACTAACAATGGATGGCAGCGATATGTAAAAAAACATCATTTAAATTCAAACTGAATATTAACTCATTCAACCTATTCATTACCTACCGTTCGATGGCGTTTCTTTTTTGACTTTTTCTTGTGTTTTTTTGATTTTCTTGAAGCATGATCTGACAATAAACCAGACATTATCAGTAAAATGTGTATCAAGTCAATTTATTGGAACATTACACTAAAAACACATACTCTATCTAGATGCATTGTTATCTACACCTACTATATTTCTATTAAATAAATGTATTTCTCAGCAGCCATTTGCAACGCCAATTTTATGAAGTTGCTCAAAGGTAAACTGTATGTACAATTTCAGTAATAAAATACACTACTGGTCACAAAGAACTGGTGACAAAAATTATTGAAATGATAACCACAAATTTTGGTGTAACATTTGAATATTACTACAATTTCTGAGTTTGTATCAAATGTACAAAATTCTTCATTGGCTGGATTAAAATAATGTGGGTTTATTTTTCAAATGGAGACAACAGTTATTTTTAGTGTTGACAGTGTTGAGTGTTAGTATTTGAATCTGCAATGTGGACACACAGCAACGAGTTATAAGATTTGACTTACCTGAGTCATCATCTGAAATGGAGCCTGCATCTGATGGAGTTCTTGACCTTGACCTCTTCTTTTTCTTGTATTTTCGATGGCTTCTCTGTGGTTCATCATCTGAATCAGAAACCTAAAACAGCAAATAAAACACATGTTAGTACACTCACTATTTGCCTATTTACTGTAGAGCCTAATACTTGTACAATGTACCAAGGAATCATGGACATCATTGTTTACACTTTCTCATTTTAGGATTGTTGTAATTTTAATCAAATAAGTAAATTTCCTGTGAGATTAAACTTAACTGATGGTACCCTCATATTGTCACATTATTCCTTGGGGTCACCCGGTGGCTCTGGGGCCAAAAGGCACTCCCAGTGGCTCTCGGGCCAAGAGGCACCCCCAGTGGCTCTCGGGCCAAGAGGCACCCCCAGTGGCTCTCGGGCCAAGAGGCACCCCCAGTGGCTCTCGGGCCAAGAGGCACCCCCAGTGGCTCTCGGGCCAAGAGGCACCCCCAGTGGCTCTCGGGCCAAAAGGCACCCCCAGTGGCTCTCGGACCAAGAGGCACCCCCAGTGGCTCCGGGCCAAGAGGCACCCCCAGTGGCTCCGGGCCAAGAGGCACCCCCAGTGGCTCCGGGCCAAGAGGCACCCAGTGAATCTCGGGCCAGGGGTCACCAGAGGATCTCAGGCCAGGAGTCACCAGAGGATCTCAGGCCAGGAGTCACCAGAGGATCTCAGGCCAGGGGTCACCAGTGGATCTCAGGCCAGGGGTCACCAGTGGATCTCAGGCCAGGGGTCACCAGTGGATCTCAGGCCAGGGGTCACCAGTGGAACTCAGGCCAGGGGTCACCAGTGGGTCTCAGGCCAGGGGTCACCAGTGGGTTTCAGGCCAGGGGTCACCAGTGGATCTCAGGCCAGGGGTCACCAGTGGATCTCAGGCCAGGGGTCACCAGTGGATCTTAGGCCAGGGGTCACCAGTGGTTCTTAGTCAAAATGTTTTCTTAAGAATGTCCAGATTTATTTAGAAAGTCTGGTGCACAATTGCAAATACAATATATAATTTAACTTACTGAGCGTGAACGTGATCTTTTACTGCGATGCTTTTTGGATTTCTTCTTTTTTGTACTTGGTTTTGAATGATGATGGCCACAGGTATCCTGTAAACAAAACACAAATTACACAAAGTGGAATTATAATACAATTTAAAGAAACATGATAGTGTAACTATTATAACCTTGCCCATATTTCATAGTAATTTGACTGAATCCCTGGGTAATGCACATCATAATCAATTTCATGGAATCATAATTCACGTAATAATTTGAAATTGGGATTTTAAATAATTAGCTGAAAAAACAAGAGTTGGCAGAGCCATCTTGATGCTGGGAAAACAAGTGTATTTAAAGGTGTGTTTTCGAGCAATGGATTGGCGAACAGGCAGAAAAGCAATTTCAAAGACTGACTTTGTTTTAATGAAAACTTGAAGTATCATGAGGGTACCTGTTATTATTTATTTATTTTGGAAGCACAATTTTTAACAGAAGGAATTAAACTAAATTAAATAATCATGTTTGTTTATTTTAAACCTTAGAAATGACTATTGTTCAACTCAGGATGTTTAATTGTACTTAGCGTATGTTACTATGAAATTCGAGAAAAACAGTTGACAATGACTAAATGCATGGCCACAGCCAAATCGCTGTTTAATTGAAATAAAAAAATCAAAGAAAACAGGGAGTTATAATACAAGAAGAGAAACATGAGCGATTAGTCCAACACCAGGCATTACGGCAGCCATGTTTGTTTCACCTCGATCAATACAGTATCACCCACGATGCACTATTCCCATAAGCGTGGGTGTGTGGAAGTTCATAGCCAAGTGTGCTGCGGTCAAAAACAAGGTAAGAGATTACGTGAAGAGACCATCCCGATTTGCCAATGCTTTTTGGGTTCGGGTGCGTTTCATACAAGAAGATCGTTACGCACCACACCACCGAGTGTAGTAGACATAATGCCGATGGCAATAGGAAGTTCGAAGGAAGCTAATATAGTTGATTTATAACAGACGAAGTAAATGGAAATCACTTTTCAGTCCTCATTGAGGCACAAACGTAAATGAGTTGGTAAACAAGAGACGATGGCAACTCCACGCTGTGGCAGATTAACACACTACTACAGTTTGACTAAAGTTTACAAACACCACGGTCAGTCACACAAAACCCCCCAAATACAAATGGGATTTTTAAATGCGTTGGGGAAGACGAGGCAAACAATAATATTGTGCATACTTAGATGACGACTCCACATTATAACGCAGCGTGAAAATGGTAATTTAAACTTTGCTTGCAGATTTTCCCGGGGCAAATTTACATAATACTACAGTTCGATAACACGGCCAGTTACATAAAGTCCATCAAAAGGGAACTGCAAGTTGTATAATGCCAAAACAGTACCATGATTTCACAACTTTCGAAATACGTTAGCTTTTATCGATGTCCACTGTACACCAGTAAATGTCTTCCCGTTCGCAAGAACACAAAGCCTAAACTATCAGAAATTCGTAACACATACATGTAATTTGAGTGGTGGTATAACAAAATGACTCATCATTTGTAAATTCAATCCATCGAAAAAGTATAAAAAACATTTCCATAAAAAATTGTTATTATATAAATACACTTTGAAAAGAAACAAGATTCATAAACATAAATATATTTGAATACATTCTCACTACAAATTACACAATACTTATTTTCCAATGGAGTTTCTTCACAGCACAAACTATTGGAATCATGCACACGTGTGAGTACTTCAGTGACACATTTTATAGCTGTGGCCAAAATAGTCCATCATTTATTACACAACTGTGACCACATGACATCATTTTGTTAACATCCACACATTTTCATAAAATCTCCATGCACTTTTTGACCTTTCCATAAGTAAAATACACTACAATTTACTCCAGAAAAACAATTTTCTTGGTACATTCCTACATTCTTGCATACTAATGAGGGGTTCAGACATATTCCAAGCTGAACAATTTTTTGGGACTAAATAACAAAGCTGGTCAATCCTTTCCCAGCAATAAATGCTTCACTCCTTATATTCTACAAACTGTACAAATTACCTGGAGTTACCTGAAATGTGGCAAAGTTTGTCCCCAAGGATATACAAATTGAAAGCAGTTAGTCAAGATATTATTTCACCATGTATTTGTATACAATAAATGTTGAGAATTCCCATGTGTTGATATAGGAAGGTGTTTGTCTAATTGTGGAGCTTTTTATTGCAAATTCACTATGAACTGCATATTGTATACATGAATAAATGAATTTGGACAAAACAAAGATGGTCATGTGATCTCATTAATTATGTGCATATTTAATTCCCAGTAAATACACTTGGTTGAGTCAAAGTAATTGTTTCTTACCTCCAATGCTTGGATATACTCCTTGAATAGTCTTATTCTTTCAGATTCCACAGTGATAGCATCAAATGCACTCTCATTAACAAATCTACTTCGCACCTGAAGAGAAATTATAGATATGAATCAAACCATGCATATTAAATGATTTTATCATTTTAAGCAAATAGGTAATAAAGAGTATAAATTGTGTTTTATTACTAGTTCAATAGATAACAGACATTATATATTATGATGTTGAATGCTAAGTATCAAAGGACACCTGTGACTATTTATTTATTTATTTGATTGAAAGACCAAGAAGATCAAGTCCTATTTACAGATCTCATCTATCCCCGGAAAAATCTACTACTCAATGTGAATACATTGATTTTGTATCTGCATTGAGAACCAAGAATGGCACATAAGAGTTTTTATGTGCTCCCAAAGTACAACAGTCTCCCTACTTAGGACAAGCTATCGCAAAGCTGATGAGATGGCACAAATTTGTATTGGTGAAGGGTGGGGTGGGGTAATGTGGGGGTGAAGGGT